AATGGATGGTGCAATGTATCGGAACCTTATTTTTACAATTAATATTGCATCCTTATTCAAAACTACACCCATTGATATATCAAAATGTAAAAAATCACACTCCATGAAGTGCAAATGACTATTGACGGAATTGTCATTTGGTCAATTACAAATTGAAAAAGAAACACTATTTCACAAATCTTGCAATCAAATAGTCCATTAGTGATTTGATCCTTCTAATGTGATGTTTGCTACGTGTATGGTGTGATTTTCAACGTGTTTTTAGAGTGATAGTATGCTTTTGTTGTGATTATCATGGTTTTGGGGTGATGTTCCACATGCTTTTGGTATGATCAACTCTTGAAAATATTTTAGAGGGATATGTTTTTGGTATGATCAACTCTTGAAAATATTTTAGAGATATATGTTTTATTTGGATTTTAATTTGATGTTATATGTGAGATATTGGATGGGACTAAATAAATTACAAGAATGCTATTTACTGAAAAAGTGATTATGCATGTCAAGATCCATTAAAAATTCAAGTTGAAAATCGAAAACAGAAGCCAACAATATTAATGGAACTTCTAAACAAAAATCTATTTTGAAATATATTTTGAATTACAAATTTCAATAGACATCTCAAACTTTTATTAAAAAGACATTGTCCTAAATAATAAACAATAAAGATTTGAAAAATAAAATTGGAGAGTGATTACAATGTTATGAGAGCTTAAGATTTGAAAAATGAAATTGGTGGATGATTGCAATGTTGTATGAGCTTAATTTTTTGTATAAAATTCGATATTAACATTGTGAATGTAATCAAAGGTGGTGCTCTTATAGATTTTACTAATTATTATCCTAATAACGTGAAACACAGTTTTAGTAAGTGCTTTTCTTGTTTTCGTAATAATTGGTTTTATATGAGATTCTGATTTTGCTATTTATTTGGGTTGGAATTCATGTCATATTTGGCTAGGGATTTTTTGTGGTGCCCTTACTCTTCATCCAATCTTCGAATTCCTCTACCTCCATCCTCTCATCTACTAGGAACGCTTTCCTCTCATCTTCAGCACCTATTGGTTGCAACTCCACTTTCAGTCACAACTCCATCCGTTCTAATAATTAACAATTTATTATTAATGAATATTTATTATATTTATTATGAATATTCAATAAATTCTTATTAAATATTTATACAATAAATGTATTTGTATCTATGTTTTTTTTTTATGTTTTGGATTTTCTAATAAATTTATATTTTTCTGTAGAATTCAGTGGATATAGAATAGATTAATAAGTACTAAAATCATAGAATATATAAATTAAATAATAGAATATATAAATTAAATGGAAATAAATAAAGAATATAATGAAGAAAATAGTGAAATGGGTATATAATAATCAAAATTAAATATTTATAAATTCTAAAACGTCTTATAGAAAGTTAATATTTATTCTTATAATTCTTATCTTAGTATATTATTTTTCTTATTTTTCCCTCAGTTCATAATGATTTATGATTTAGTCTTCCAACCAAATTCTATTTTTTTGTCATGTACTACTACAATGTCTTATTTTCTTAATCGATGTTCCCATATATCCCCACCCTCCATCATGTCTCCACTAACCATATCATCATCATTCTAACTGGACATTCAAACCATTCGACCCACATGTTCCTTAATTGATCTTCTCATACATACCACAGTATATCATGTAAACCTAACCATATCATCATCGTTTCTTTCAATATTGGCTGCAATATCAAAACCATCAAGATCTTCTTCAACCCAAAGTTCAAGACACTATCGTAAACTTGATTTAGACTTCCCACTTTCATCCTTGTTCTCTTAAATTCGAAGTTCAATGACATTTAAAGCCTTTGAATCTAGGGGTGCAGAAGGCTCGGGATAAGGCCGAACCGTCTCCTCCTGAAATCAAAGGGCCCTTAACAGGTCAAGCCTAGAAGACTAAGGTCCATCACATTTGGTTTTGAAATAGCGGAGACTCGTACTCAGCCTAGCCTGCTCATCTCTTCAAATTTCCAGCCAATACCAGGTGGGAATAATGAGAAAATAGTTAGAGAATCATATATTGTTAGAAACGTTGGATTCTGATGTAGAATGCTAAAATAATTAGGAACAGGTAAATCATTAAAATAGGGATAAATATTAAACAACTAGAAGAAGGTGGATTGCAAAAATAACTTCAAAAAAAAAAAAAAGCTAAATGGTCAAACAAATTTGATTTTAGCGATCTCACGAATGATTAACCATAATATAATTTAGATACAAATTTAAGTAAATAAAATATGTAGCTTACATAAATTACATTCATCATCATTTGAGCCTTAACTTAACTATTTGGGGTCAGCTAGTTTACATAAATTACATTATATAATTTGTATTTTACTATGCATATTTATATGTAACTTACGCATAATAAGGACGGAACCAGCCTACCCGACAGGCCCATTGAAGGCACAAACACAATCCTTGTCGCATGGTCCTACAAGAAGCCAGCTTGCTTGCATGCATGCTTGAATCCATTCCAGCCCTAAATTAGATACTCGTATATGATCATTTCTGAGGCGAAGCACAATATCAATAGTCTCTCTACCAGGATCTATTTGTGTAAGTAGCAAACAGGAGGTAAAGTAGCCCATTTGAAGGGTTGGAGTAGGCCCACATAGAAGGGTGAGTGACATGGACCAATAAGTGTCAGAGAGGGCGTATATGTGGCAATACATGAGCCCTTCAATCATCTATTTAGGGCATGATCCTTAGGGAGGAATTTTAGAATGTGGAAGGCAACTCACTTGGCCAATTAGCTCAAGGGTTTGAGTTCACTCTTTTCATTCCTGGTTGAATAGGGGTGTTGCTTGATGTCCTAGAAGATAGTATAGCTTGTTTGGGGGATTAGGTTACTTTATGATTGGATATTTCTGCAGTTATTTAGGAGTCTTATGTAGTCAATCAAATTTAGGGTAGTGCTTTCTTTTGTTTTGGTAAGTGGATCCCCTACCCATGATAGAAATGGATATCGAGGGGTCATATTGTCACACCCTATCATCCTGACTACTAGCCTTGAGCACATTCCTAATTTAGGGTGGTTCTTTCAATCACACAAAAATGCGACAACCTAGTTTTTAACCTAGACTGTGGAACACATGGCTACTTGTGTAGGGACTTGTTTCTTAGTCCTTTATTATATATTCCTATTATTCTTGATGAATTGAAGTCTGAATTGAGAAGAAGGCCTTTAACCTACTCTAGCATCAAATGGTTATGTTTATCTTTAAGACATTCTTTAAGCCGCCTATTGCTCTACCCTATATCCATATGATCCGGCAACAATAAGGTGATGAGACAATGTTGTGAATCTCACAACAATGCAACAAAGATGTACGGTACCATCCTTTCAAGAAGTTTTTTGATATTTACGGACAAATTATTTCCCATTTATACTTGGGAAAAAGACTTTAAGAAAGCATTTTGGATGATGGTTAGCAGTTTCCATTGGACTTATCCTTCTGAAAAACTAGTCGAGAAAACAAGCTTAACAGCTAAGTAATAACCTTTTACACCCTTCTCCTCCCTGGTCGCAAAGACACATCAAATATGATGTTAAGTCTCCTTGATATTAGACATTATATGTTCCTAGGTATGCCCCATAATTCTAATGGATTGTGACAAACCGTCCCCCTACTTCTAGTTGTCCCACCAAGCGAGGAAAGGTTGTGTAGTTGCCCTAAATTTGCTCATGGAACTCATAATCCTTTGTCTTTGGTCCATTCATGACAAAAAGACTTCTCAATGCATCTATACTGATTCTCTTGTACCTTACACCTATGACTATTTGTACATTCCGCCTACATATAGCCACCCTTAGGTGGGGCCCTCTCCCCTCTTAATGCTCTTGTGGGCTTAAATGGTGGCCCTTTATAGCTCTAGACAGCCCATAGGACTATTGTCCAAGGTTATTGCATAAGACATGAGGACCATAGGACTATTGTCCAAGCTTGGTACATTGCATAACACATGAGGACCGTAGGACTATTGTCCACTGTTATTCTTAGCTTTCATGGCTGTATACAGTTGCAACTTGAACTTCATGTCCTAAATATTGTACAATTGGTTGCTCTCACCACCCTTTTAGCATCAGAAAGCAAAGTTTAAGGAATCAAATATAGAAAGCACTTCAGTGAATACATAGAAAGTTCATCTTCCATGTGAACCATCATTGAGGAAGAAAGTTGAAACAAAAACCCACCCATGCCACAAGAGATCAAAATTATTCCAAATTTAATTGATTACAAACATTGAAAATACTTTAATGGATTATTAATTAAAGGCAATCTTTCCTATCATAAACAAGGAATACGAACTAATCGATGAAAAACGAATTATTGTAAGATTATTCAAGTAAAGATCACTAATGTAGCAAAGCACCACAAGAAACATGGTGCCCACCAACATAGGAAAATGTGGGTGTAGATTAGATGACTACACAAAATTATTGAAGAATGGGGAGGATCAATTCTGAAATAGAGAGAGAGAGAGAGAGAGAGAGAGAGAGAGAGAGAGAGAGAGAGAGAGAGAGGGTAGTAGTAGTAGTAGTAGAGAGACGAGGACGAAGAACGAAACGAACGAGAGAGAGTAGAGTAGAGTAGAAGTAAGAACGTAACTAGTAGAGAAGAAGAAGTAAGTACTACTATATAGTAA